CCCCCCCACCTCGTTTTCACAGCACAAATCAAGCAGTGCCACGTTGGGCGTCCTGACAACTGCCCTCGCCGCTGGCTGCCAGCCGACCGGCGAGAACGAGGCCACGAGCCACGGACAGCCAAAAGGCCGAACCTCGGCCAATCAGGCGATCCTTTTCGCTCCGTCGCTGCATCCGCATTCCAACCCCGGCTCATGCAGACGCATTAACCGCCTGAGTCACCCATCAGTCCCAGGAGCTCGGGTTCGAAAAGCGAAATAATAAACAGTACCTGTCAAAAAAAGCTGCTCTTTTTTCATACAGCTGTATTCTGAAGCCTTGGGTGGTGAATCCCAATTGAGAGTGGAGGTGGTGTTACTCATTACGGATTGTCAGGCAATTACTGCCCGCCCCCCCCACCCCCCTGGGCAGATACCAGGGAACCATTAAAATATTTCATTTGGAAAAGAAAAAAAAAAAAAAAACACTGGAAGTGGTGTGGAAGCACAAGGGGAAATATTCTGGGCAGAGCACCGGCGCCATCTGAGGCCGGGACGGTGTAGGACGCTGGCATATATATATATATATATATATATATATATATATATATATATATATTCTGACAAACGCATAGTTTCCAAAGGTCATTACCGTTGACAGCAAGAGGAGAGGGAGGCTCTCGAGAAACACGTCATTAAGAAGGGAAGGTTTATCGCAGCAGCTCGACTGGCATGCGCCCCCCCCCAATGTGAACAGAATCGAACCTTCAGCGTCAGGCTCAGAAAGCAGAGACCTGCCCAGATCTCCAGCGCAGTTCTGGTGTTCGGTTAATACCCAAGAGAAGGTGCATAAAAAGCGCCATAACCGGTCTGCATGTGCATGTGGAACCGTCCCGGAAGCCCAGAACAACCCCCCCCCCCTCCAGAAGCCTGGTACAAATGACTGACCTCCCAAAGGAATCCGGCCAATCAGATCACACTTCTGAATAAGGATGACATCACACCCTCACATTCCTGGGGATGCCCGCTGTCGAGGGTTTCCCTCCGCACCTCACCTGCATGTCATTTTCCATGAGGTGGGGTGGGGGAGGGGGGGGCGGTGATCATTCCCCACACAGTTTCCACTCATGAGACAAGCGGAGGCAAAAGGCCAAGGGCCTATGGGGCTTGGCCGCGGTAAGCCCGACACGGCAGGCCGCGGTAAGCCCGACACGGCAGGCCGCGGTAAGCCCGACACGGCAGGGCTGCATCAGCACCGTCCACTGGGAAGTAGGAACGCCTGGAGCTGCACTCGGCAAGTCAAAGACTAGCGGCCGCCGGCAGCAAACAGGCCTTTCTGAGGAGGAAGCCGTGTGGCAGGAGGCAAGGGCTCCGACCGCCAGCGACCCGTGAGAAATGCAGCAAACGCGCGCCAGGCCGGCCAATCGCATCTCATCGCAGCGCTGCTGGCCTCTTGCTGCCTATGAGGTAATGCCACGCCCCCTCCGTCCCAAAACAGGCCCCAGAACAAAAATGCCAAATCCCAAAGGAAAGTGATACCGTGTGCCAAGCTGCGGCCTATTCTCACATTAACCCTCGTCCTGACTGAGGAAAATCGATCATGTTTCCAGCTGAAGGCAGGTGGCATCTAATAATTGTGCCTGAACGCCGCATGTCAGGTAATGCTTGTTGCCAGCCTCTTTAGGGGTGTGTGTGTGTGTGTGTGTGTGTGTGTGTGTGTGTGTGTCTGTGTGGGTTTGCATAGATCACATCTGAGGACCAAATTGTCCCCAAAGTGTAGTAAAACCTGAAATTTCCCTATCTTTTGGGGACATCTTTTGAGGTCCCCATTTGGATAACCAAAGTTTTATATAAATCTGTGAATGCAATCAAAAAAGTAAGAATGCCAAAAGTCTGTGTGTGTGTGTGTGTGTGTGTGTATTATGTTGTGGGGACCAAATGCTTCCACAGTGTGATAATGACCTGTTATTTAGACATTGTGGGAACCATTTTTTCGGTCCCCACAAGGGGGAAACTCAGTTTTCTAAAAAACTAAAAAATGCTAAACGTCTTGTTTGGTTACTTATGGTTAACGTTAAGGCTGGGTAGGAGTTAAGGGTGTCATTGCTGGGATTAGGGGTTTGCCCACACCCCACCGGCCCTGGGGGGGGGGTGAAAATCCTGCCTCTGTTCTGTGTGCTGTTGGTGGTGCCAAAATGAAAACACAAGTATTCTGTGGTTTTCCGGACAAGCGCTTCCTCCCCGGGCTGAAGGCGTCGCCGACTGCATTCAAACACCAGGTGAGAGAACTAACTGTCACAGGTTTCGAAGCAGCCACCTTGATGTCAACTGCGTCAAAAATGTTCGGTCTCCCCTGAAACGGGAACCTTCCACCAATGGAAGACAACGTACATTGGAACGTTTGGAAGAGATGTAAGATGTTTCTGAAATGCTAAAACCACCAAAAGTATGGATGGTGGACTAATGTCTCCAAACAGACGAAGAACGACAGATGTTGTTCACAATGGCTTTGATCCAAGTTCCATACATTTCATCTGTTACATTAATTTGAATCTCCAGTATTATAAAATGTATTTTCATATGTGCGTGTTATTTGTGTTTTTGTTTTTTGTCAGATGGATATTTATATTGCCTGTAAAGCATATTTATTGCTTAGACTTTGTACTTTCACAGCGCTGATTTTATATTTGTCAACTTATTTTTCGTATACGTGTGCCAAGTTTTAAATACGAAAGCACCATTTGATCTTGACAACTGCAATTTCATCGCGCTTGCACAATGAAAGCTCTGGAGTCTTGAATCTTAAAAAGAGAGCCACACTACAAACGCTGAAACTTTTGTGATTTTTTTTTTTTTTTTTGGGCAAATGTAAATACAAGACGAAGGTCTCTCTAGAGATAAGTACTACTGTTTTGTTTAGATTTCAGTGCTGGCCTCATTGCTGGAATTCATCCTAAAAAAAAAAAATGCTGTTTAGCATAATAACTTGGCAGTAATTGTAAGCACAGTAAACAATGGAGCTGTCATTTCTAACTTACACATACTGATCAACGGGCCTGACAGTGCAACAGTCTATGAATAACCCATATTGTCTCTTTCTCCTTTTTATTTCACTGACCAGATAATAATTTCAAGAAGAGAAGATCGAGAGCCGAATATATTTGGCTCCATCTGCCATAAACCGTTTCCAGACCTCGCAACCAGCTTTTGGAGACCAAGTGATTTCCCTCCATTGTTGTTTTCAGCGTAACATTGCTGAGATTCTTCTCCTGCTTCTCGCCGAGGTCAGAACGCAAGAGGCATCCGATAAAACGTTTGTGCAGCCGCGCCCGTCGACGTCAACTTGCCAGAGGTTAACACTTCATTATGTGGTGGGGGGGGGGGGGGGGGGGGGGGTAATATGCATTAATAAACACCAGGCTCCGTAAATTCCGTGCGCAAATCTTACAGCTACGCCGGGCGCAATCTACGATCGAGAAAAGCCTCACGATAAACCAAAGGGCCCTTAGATTCCCAGAGCAGTCAATGCTGCCAAGCTGATTCATGAGATGGAGAGACGCTCGAACAAAACAAAGGCGTGAGTGGCAAATCCCCATCTGAAGTCAACTTTTAACGCTTCCCGTGGGTTCTGGTCTGGCTTGTGCCGCCACAAATAGCGACTTTTCATAGGAGGCGTTTCCAGGCGGGCGGCCGAGACCACCGCGAGCTGTCAGACATGAGACGGGAGCCCGAGCAGCCTCGACGGATGAAGCCGTCTGCTGAGAGGATAAATAAATCAAGGTAACTGTTTCCGAAATGGCAAGGCACACAGGTTAATCAAATAAACCCACCCGGGATTTCATACGTAATCATGTAATTAATTACTGCCTCTGACTGCATCTCACTTCCTGCCCCCAAATGGATCCATAATGAAACAAGACTCTCATCTGACTGAGCAGCTACATTAAGGAACATCGATACGGCTCCTCTTCATAGCTACCTGCTGCGTTTTACGGCATACCCATTTGCGGACCTGATCCTGCTGCAATAATCGTTCCGCCTGAGTGCCCAGGGATCCTGCTGGGACCAGTGAACCCGAGTTCAGAATTCCTAAGAGCTGTGCCAATCGTTTTTTTTTTTTGGTTTTTTTTTTCTTTCTTTTCTTAACCCAAAAGTAAATTTCCTCCCATCCTGCTGCTGGGGCCCGTGCAAAATCCTTTGGCGTTGTCACGTACACGGATGGGTTTATCGTTTAAAATAAATAAATACATAAATAAATAGCTGGTTAGCAGAACTAGCAGCCTCACTATCTCCTACATAAGAAACATATTTATGTAATATTTAAGGGTCCCACACAAATGTGCGGTTTGACTGGCGACAAACATCCCCGCTGGTCACGTGACCCCTTTTGCCCTATCATGTGGCCCCACGGTCACTACATCGAAGTACCTT